GAAATTTTCGCGGCACGCTTTGTCACAGTCATGTATTTGAATATGGGTGTCTTTTGGTGAGACTCCGCAGGTTGATTAAGCATACGTATTTTAGAAACATCTATATTCACACCAGACAGAAATGTTGCCGAGGCAAATACTGTGATTATCCGCCGCAATTCCACTTTTGAATCAGCAAGTAGGGTACAGTCGTGTTCGACTAGGAGCACTCGGATCTCCGATTCACGCAGCCTTGTCCATGAGGTGCTGCAAGTCGATGAGGTAACCGTATAAGTACTGGATCGGTGCGTCATTTTTGCGGTCACTATTTGATTGTGCGCAAACTAAACAAAGTAGGGACCACAACACAACCCTTTTCATCCCTTGGCGGTTTCCACCCCAGCGCGCCCTCTTCCATGATGAAGCGATGTGATAATGTTGACAATTTTTTTCGGGGCAGTCAAAATCTTGAACAGCATTCCACAGATCCCTCTCATTTGCAGAGTCCAACGCCTTCGTGAAGTCCACCAGAAAATTGCATGGCGAATGGTTCCGTTCCCGGCGTTTTCCTTTCAGGCGACGCACTGCAATTGTAATGGCAGTCGTGTTGCGTCCGCCACTACTAACCCGAGTACAAGTCATTTTGCATCATCCTGTGAAATTTCACACAAGAATAATGTTTTCGGAATTTCATTTAGAACAGCTATATGACCGCGTTTCACCCTCCTTGATAAAAGGAGGGCGTGCCTTTCAGCTCTGTTGCTTTTGTCCGTATCAGGAATGAGTCTAACTTCCGAGGGTCCGAGTCGGAATCGGCTTACCTTCACTCTTTCGTTTGTGGTTTCTTATTTGTCCAATCTTCAAAGGCCTGGCATATTTCGATTGTTCCTAGTCCTGTAACTCGATCATCCCGGTTGTGGCTTGACAGTCTATTCTTTCTTCTTGTGGCAGCCTTATGGAGATCAATGAATCACATGATACTGAAGGGTTCACCTATCCTGAAGACGCAGGGAGAAAGGCATAAACGTCCGATTCCTAAGACTGCTGCATATAGCATGTAAGTTTTGAGACACACTGGATTTTTGACTTTTAAAAGTAATTCGACTGTGTTAGACGATGCGCCGGCGACACCAGTAAACCGTTTCCGCTTCCATACAAATGGAGATTCTGATTGCCTGGGGAATATGCCCTAATGTACTCACAGCCCTACGACCACGAACAGGACTACTTTAGCCCCGAATCACCTCAGACCACAACTGGTTGTAGCACCTGGACTCTCTGATCATTGTCTGGCTGCCTTCCAGGCATGGTAAAATCACGGATTTCCAGCCGATATAGCCTTCGAAGCCATTGCAGCATCGAAGCCCGACCATCACAATGAGGATGATGGTGACGATAACGCATTGGGACACAGTAGTCATCCCAACAACCGGACGTTATAAGTAGAGAGTGCGTTCAAACATTTGCGAAAACATAATTCTTCGTGCAATAGGGAGGTGAACCTTCCACCTTGTGGTATTAGTGAATATATAAAGATTCACTGAGCGTCTAGATTACGGGAGTGTTGGATACAGAGCATGGCCTCTCCAGAGGAAGTGCGACTTTTTTTTGTAAACGACTGTGCTGTGCCTTCATTGGGTTTATATGTTTTCGAACTTTGAATTTCGATGAATGCTACTGACTTACTAAATGAAGAGCGATTCTTCTCAGAGCTTTGCTTTATTACACTTGAAGAACGCCGGGACAAGGTAATATATCAGAAAACGCCCACAGATGGGGTTAGGAACGACCCACGATCCTGTGGGCATCCAGTAATTCGTTACTGGTACACGTTCAAAGAATGCTTGAAATTTCACGAAATTCACTTGATTTCCAGAGAATTCCTCGACTTTGGGTTGATGTTTGGTCGATATATGCAGTTAGGTTTTAGATCCTCCAACAAGCTGTCCAAAAAATCAAGTCCATTATAAGGGTGACGACGTTCCTGGTTGCAGACAGCAACAAGCGCCCAACTGCGGTACTCAAATGAGGTTAGTTCAATTCCTTACGAAAAAACTTCTCCCGACTACTGCTCAGAAAGAAAACAGGTGCATTCGTTTAGCTCTGTGTGCTTCTTCGGTTGCCCAGTTTTACCACAGATTAATTGCGCATTGAGGGGTGGATTAACGATGTACGTTCCGGGGGTTTAAACCAACCTAAAGCATGCATACTCGTCCTACTTTTACGACACCATGGCGTGGTTAATTGGTCACAGATAGAAGATCACATAACCACAAATTTACACCAAAGCAAGTCGTTGTGCTGTATTATAAATGGAAACTTCCAAATCGGAATTATTCTCATGGAAATACGCACCCGATTCGGATACTCTTCCGCTTGTAGTGAGATGTACTGACTATCGGAAAGTGTAAGTTTTATTGAAGTGACAACAAATCCAACTACAAATTGACGGTCAACCAATTGGTATTTCATTACAGTTGGGCTAACATGAAGCAAACCTGTCAAAACTTGAAATCCACTGGCCAAGTTCAACGTTACGAACAATGTTTCCATCAGGTTTCTAGCAAGACTGAGCAACGACAAATTGATCTTTTCTGACGCTTCGATTAGACTAGACATCAAAGAACGACTACTGGTCAGAATGGTCAAAAGCAGTGGTGTCAGAGTTGCAGGCATTTTAGATGCGGTCGCAAACCGGCGTCCTGCTATGGGATGACATGTGTTTTAGATGTCAGCTGTCTTCTGGCAACTAAATGAACAGAATGATGCAGTCGGTTGACTGAGAACACGTGTTTTTGCTTGGTTTTGCGAGGAGATAAACGAATTCGGCACTATGGAGGGGTGGCTAATATTTTGACAAACAAACTTAATCAAGATATGGAAAGAATTATTGTCTGTGAGTTATGTAGCATAACTATGCCCACACCGACAAAATCTATTCCGTGCGAGAGTCAAGTTTGAATTGCTCAGCAGAACAATTGAGCGACCAATCTGTTTCTGATCCCGCTGCGTGAGCACCTTATCACCCGTTGTACCAGTAAATTTGGTCTTGACAGACAGAGAGAATAAATTGTATTCACAGTTACCGGTGGTGGTGACGGGAATGAACTGAATCTACTTCTTTCCTGCGTCAAACGTTCTGTTGCCGACACAATCTGGCTTCGCTGTTTCCACATCACCCCAACCAGACATGCATCGCAGACACTGTCCTGTTGTTTTGTCCTTTAGACCTATTGTCCAAACATGTGCTACTTTAGCCAGGAAAGTATCGGTTTGCGATGTCTAAATATTGTTTGGATTTTCCAAGAAAAGTAATAGGCAGAATAAATAAGTTTTCAAATGGTAGCACTGAAAAATACTAACAATGGCACTACTAAAAATAAACATCAGTTTTGAAATGTCCCCAAACAAAATATCATCAGTTGCATCACTCGTCTTGGAGGTCACATTTCCTTAACAGGCTTTTGGTGATACATCAAGGGTAGAACTGAACTGCATGACAACGGCAGCCCTTATCAGTCTGCCACATTTAATCGCTCGGCATCTGAGGATACGGGAGAATCTGACTCAGGACAAGATAATTTTAATAATAATTCGTGCGCTAGATTCAATGAGTACTTTGCATCAGGCTGCTATGGTTTCAATCAAATATGTGCTCTTTTTCTCCACGGACAGTTCACGTTACATAGATTATCTCAGGCACTTGAGGTGGTCACAGCGCTTGTGAATCCCAGGAAAAATTAGTGCCACGTGAAGTGGGATTGTCTTCTGAACCATCCTTTTATTCAGTATTCTTTATGATCACTTTTTTCTAATTCGGCGCCCATATTGTTCACGTTCTAGGTTTCTCTTCCACTCTGTCGATATTCACAACGTTGTAAGAGTCCTCCGAATCTCTTAGTGATCTACTTTCGCATCTTGTGAACTGGCTTTACGTCGGTAGTTTTGTTCTTCACAAGTTGATTTGCATTGGCTTCGTAGTTTCGCACATCTATGCGTTCATGAGATATGTTCGTTGCGGCAGAAGAAGGCGAAACAAACCAGAACGGTAGACGCACGTGTTCTCTGAGGGGCAACTTCAACCTAATCAATAGTGTGAATCGCGCTCCTTCAAGCCGTTCACACTGGTAACAGAATACTAGGCAATATGTCATGGGGAAGTCAGTCAGCTACCGGAATCAGGGCCTTTGTGTACGCGTGTAGTGATATTGATTCACTTCGACATTGTTTCCACGTACGTGTGTATCCATCACTGAACCTATACAATTCCCAAAGGACAGTTACAGCGACCCTTAGTCACCAATCGGCTCCTCATGCAAACAATGTCCCACAGCAAACAGTATCTTGGTGAGCTTATACGACTTACCAACCAATCCGCATCGCCGTGCAATGTCACGCCCGATCGATTGCTGAACTGATTCCCAGGCTTCGAATGGCAGCGTCACTTTTTTCTTTGATCGTCCTCGCTATTGAACGCGCGTTCCATTCCGGAGGATGGTAAGCTTTGAATTTTTGCACCCATATTTGCCTTAAGTCCTCCAATGACTAAATTTTTCTCCGGAAAACGGGGTCTACCTTGGGGTACGATTCACTGAGTTTGTTTGATTATTTTCACTTTTTTCTTTAGTACTTTAAAAATAATATTTTAGACATCACTTATTCTTGAGACGTTGACATTCGAGTGAATCTATCCATCATAAATCTGCATAAAAACCGGAACAATTTTAGGTATGCGGTCAAAAACAGTAGTTCGTAAGCAGGTGGCTATTAGTTTGAAATTCTATTCGCTTTTTATTACTTATCTTGATAGGGCCGATTTAGGTCCTCCGGTGAGGGGGTTCGACGATCGGAATAGGTAGTTTCCCAGACATTAGAGGTTGTTTTCTCCGGCAGCCAACAGCATTTCAGTTGCTTATCAGATAGAGGGTCGCGTCTATCGAATTTGTATGAAACCGCTTAGATGTGTAACCTTTCTTGAAAATGTTTACCACCTGTTTGCCATGATATATTCATGATTTTAAATGAGCTACTTGGTCACCGATAATTCTGATACCAGCACACTGGTAATTAACTCTCTCTTTTTCCAGAGCTCCCTCTCAAAATCTGAAATTGAAGGTAAGTCATTCGCGTCGTGAAATCACACATGTCTACGAAACGAACCACCAATCTGAGTCAATCAATGTAACGAACAAACAACACAAGCCACAGCCTAACAAGTTTTGCCTATTCATCTATCAGACATCCGTGAGGTCTTCGATTTGTTCGACTTTTGGGATGGTCGTGATGGCATGGTCGACGCCAACAAGGTGGGAGACTTACTTCGATGCAGCGGAATGAATCCAACAGTTTCAGTAACTGTGAAACACGGAGCTACTGAAAAACCAGGTTGGTTTTTCTTGATCTAATTGTTTTTTTTCGGTGTAAATTTTGGCGTGGTCATTTTGACTGGTGTGAATTTTCCAACCTGAAGTGAAGGTTGTTGGTGAGTAAAGTGAAAGAATGGTGGATAATCAGAGAAGGTCGATTGGTCTCGGTCAGCCCAAGTTATCTGGATCTAGTCACTAATTCTCCTCACTCCTGTAGGGGTTCGGGTAACACAGCACACCATTTGCCTTTTTTGTACGATCCCTACATCACGAATGTGAATTTCTTCATAAGCGTAGAATTGAAGCCCAAGTCTGTTCTATGTTTAACTGTCAGTTCCATCCTGAAATAAGTAATGGGGATTTTTTTTTATAAAAAAAGTGCCTGTGACCATATTTGTTCCACATACTTGGTGTTAGTTTGTCTTGCTCTGGTACAATTTTCAATCTGAAAAGCAATTTTTCAGTGGTTAACGATAGTTTTTTTTACTTCAGTGTATTTGAAAAACCTCGTAAAGGATGAATAAGTTAGTCTTACACACAGTGGCATTAATATATCCACAGGCAGTTTGGTAAGACTATTGATGACTACATATCTGAGCGGCTAGTTTTGAATTCAAAAGACTTATCTTCCACCAAACGGACCATTGTCTAGTTAGTACACAACACAATGCACTTTTTCTGTTTGGTTATCGTTCAGAGCAATTCCCGACCTGTTTGACATGTTATTGGTGAGAAAGTTTTTTGAGGGAGCAAAAATTCAGTATTCAATCGAGTTCATTAGTCCTCTGGAATTATTAGAAACAAGTAGATCTTGAATGAGTTATTCCGTCGTTTTTTCGTCAACTTATACTTGTGATCAGGTGAACAGGAAAACGAAGCAATAATTAAGGGATAAGTTGCCCCAATAGGCATGAGAATGGGACATATCCCGAGAAGCGTGTGGACAAAGGTCTGTTTGAACATGTCAAATGTTGTTGGACGTGTTCACTCTCTTTCCGAATTGTGACTCTTTCCTGCTTTCGAATTTCAGTAATAGTTGTGAGTGGTTGAAGGACTTGTACAATGCACGCTTAAACAACTATCGTTTGAACAGTCGTCCTCCTGTCCTGGCGCAATCATTCTGGTTGGTCCACACCAAAGAGGGAAACATTGCACTCGAGTTTTGCCCTTGGAGCTCATCAACAGTGTAGATCCTTGGCCGTGTCTAGGCTTGGACTCCGCACCCCTGACATGCGAGGCGAGCGTGTTACTCTCACTCCACCAGCACCTACAGAACGGATTTGAAATTCTACGTCTGAACCAGTGAACATGGTTGCGACTCAACTAGTGATCAAATCGTAAGGTATTGAGCTTGAACCTTTACCAATAACCGAAATGCTACCAGGTCTTGAAACGTCCAGACTTCTTTGTTGGGATTCATTAGTTACGTAGGACGGCTTTGTCAATGCTTTGACGACTGCTCAGGCTCCTATCTTATCTATACTGCACAACTTCTAATGAGCTGTGCAACTTACAGCTGGTCGGAGTTAACGTTGACCAACCAGCATGGGTCAACATTTATTGCTGTTTCTTTGTTGTTAACGTGCTTCTACATATACCACCCGTTAGTAATGTGTTGGAATGTGTGTTGGAATATACCACCCGTCCTCGCAACGGGGGCCTCGTTGCTTCCCAAACGGCCTGCTCTTCACAGACTACTTATTTTTGGACAATTCAGATGAGAAATACACTTTTCAGTACTCAATGGATCTGAAGCACAAGCGAACGAATATGAGTAGAAAATTAACCTCAAGCGTGCAGTAGTATGGCGGGAAGTAGATGATGTGACGAGAAGCGAAATCAGTGGGTTACTCTTTATCGCATACTGGAGAATTAGAAAAGCAGTCAGCCATAGGTCGAAGTGACCTCCATCTTTTATGAGCTAGGCTGTTCCGGTAGACTGCACGCCGCGTGTGAAACTCAGTATAAATGATAAAAGGGTGGTCTCGTGATTTTCGGCTTTAAACACACCAAGGTAGTGCAGTCATTGCCCTTTAGGGCGGCCACTTTCAGTTGGCCCTTCAAAGCGTTCAATGAATTTTTAGGGCCCGGATGAATTGGGTCTTGCTTAGGATCACAAACCACCTCCTGGTTAAAACCCACCTCAGATGGGGCCAGAAATTCATCTATTCCACATGTGGATCGTACCATCGGATATCCACAATTTCCCGTGGTGGATGACGAACTAGAAGAATTCCTTGGTGACGCAAGCAAAATTAGTGTCTAATTTACTCATATTCGTCCGTCTGTGATGCATCGAGATGTAGAAGTTACAAGCCTAGACATTGGTAGTAATCGACAACTCGGTACCTCATTGGTTTCTTACAGTTCTCAGAATTAATAGGACTGGTACGACGCCATAACCTATGATTCACATGCTCAACTGATCCAGTGTGCAAAAATTCCCTAAATAAATCTGTATTTCCGTTGACTTCTCAGCGCCATCCACTCTGGTCGTGCATTTTGGGATATGCTTCTGTGTTTTTTCCTGCTTGGTTCAATGCAATCGCTTTCATCCGAAGACTCTGATCTGGAAACTCACATTTAAATTGAAATAATAACCTACGCTAGACACATGAAAGTTGCTTCCAACGGCAGAAAAATGTGCTCCCAGAAAGCTTGTTTCTAGTTTTTTATTCGGTTTGTTCGGGTTGCTTCCCAAAAGTTAGCCTCGTTCCGAGGAAACAATTTTTGGTCAGTCCTAGACAGAGAGGGAAAGGAACAATTTTACTATTTTTCAGATTTATTGGGGAACCAGCTGTTGCTTAACGGCGAAGGTGCCGTGTACAGTTCACCTCGTAATGTCTCACTCCCAAAAATGGGACAGCAAGCGTGACTGATGCTAAGGCGAATTAAGTCACTCACGATAACCTGTTTCAGATTTGTTAGTTATATTTTTTTTCCAACCAAATAACAGGTAGAACTACCGTCATACGAGTTCACAAAAGAAAGTGTTGTCATCTCCTTTCGGCCGAATATGAGTGTTCTATCAACCTCTATCTCAATGAAATCACACATCCAGTGTGATGTACACCTCTGAGTACGCCGTTGAAGTAACACCTCCCTCGTGCTCAAAACTGTGGTCTCTGTTATTCCGATGATAAAGGACTGGAACAGGTAACAACGGATAGCTTCTCCGGTCCTAGCATCTCAGAGTATCATCGAAGACAGTAAATGTCTATGTTCACTTACGATCGAGTGCGAATTTCATCTCGTTTTTCTATCATGAATGCATATACATTTGGATTAATTAGGCCGGACGATGTTTCAACAGATGTTTTCATGTATTTGTGATATATATATATATATATATATATAGTGATTGATGTTTTTTTTCTTGCCAGATACACTGCTGGAAAAGACAGTTTTGTCCCCACCACAACAATCACCGGACCTAAATCTGCTATTTTTGAGTGCCGAGTTTAAAGCGGCAATACCCTGCCACTACCCGCAGCACTGAACTCTTATTCTAAAGTCTTAGACCTATTGATTGGATGAACAATTTTTCAGCGAACGGAGCTTGCGCTTTGTTCCAAACTGTCTTGCATGGAATGTTGCGCAATTACGCCCTGGTGTGTGTTCACGCTGTAATGTCTTTATAGCAGAAGTATTTTGAAACTGATGTATTCGTTGACCAAACCGCGCGTCCAAGAATTGATTACTTGTGCTTGCATCCAGACAAACTTGGGCAACTTTAACGATCTGACACTATCCTCTCTTTAGCTTGTACAGTAGTGATAGGTACAAGACAGATATCACCACATTTATTCATTATATAAGTACAAAATCTACTTGATGTCTCCATTCCTATATAGCAAGATCAATGGTATCCGCAAAATCGAATCGTTTATTCTTATTTGTGATCAATAAGTGAATCTTCATGGATAAACCGATTGACCTGTGTTTGTTAGTGGCGCTGAGGCCTCTTAAAAAACGACAGCTAACGCCTGCTTTAAGAAATAGTTTGGTTGAGAAGAAACTCAACCTCGATGGACCGTAATTAACATCTTTTTTCGTTAACCTCTTGCCATGGAGTTTTGTAATGATCCTGTACGTACGTCAACCGATTATCATATTATTTGCAGTCACAGCATAGCATCTGAGTAGTTGTGAAATCAAGATACCCTGCTTAGAGTGAACGGAAAGTTGTGAGGGGGAGTCCATATAAAACTCTTAGAAAATGGTTTTTCTAGAAATTTCAATTGCTTTACTTACACGGAACGATATCACATGGCCGGAAGTGTGATCTAGCTACTGGACAGCGTGTTTATCTTTAACCTGGGAATTTAATACGTTTTGGCAAATAAATGAGCTCAGTGCAGCCAGTGCATGTTCTTCAACATCCGCCACATTACTCGGAATTCTATCTTCGCCTAACTGTATGCGCATTCTCTCACTCCCTCAAACACCCTGCCTCCATGTATGTCCCAAAAGTAATCTGTACACACTACACTTTCCTCCGTTTTCTCGATTTTCACGTTCATGAGAATTGATGGATACGTGTTGATGCACTGTCGGTAAACTAGTTCAAAGACACAGCGGAAAAGGTACATGTAGACACAAACACATGTGTGCGATCGTCTCTGTGATGTCAAACTAGCTTGGGAACCAAAACAATCTCGTGTTTGTGCTGAGGATCATGAAAAGTTTACTTATTTCTCGCCCAGACCTCTATTATTTGTTGTTGGTAATGTGTTGTTAATGTTTGGAAAGTTTCAATGAAGGTCTCGTCTATACTAAAAGCCTAGAGGCTGTTTTATCCCCATTGGAAGTCAGCAGCCGTACACATCTCACGAAAATCCGGATAGTCTCGAACCTGTTCGGCCACGAACTGCTTATCCACCGTTTGATCAACTCGCACTTAGACCCCACCCATTCTTTAATCACAGGAACAAACACACCGTGCTCTCGTGTTCACTTGCTCCTCGAGTGACGGTATACCAGATGACATTTCCTTGAGTCTTGTATTGCTCGTGATTC